AAATGAGGAACCCCCCAAATAGTGCCTTAGAAATAAGAAATTGAAAGTACCATGGAAAATAAGATTAGAAAATATTATTTGCAGTCTAATAATCTGAGCTTTTAAAAAATGATCTCAAAAGGAAAATGAACATCTACAAATAATCTACAGTCAATGCCAGTACGGCTGCTTATCTTATCACAAGATGATCTGTAAAGAGGATCCTAGTTGGGAGGGATCTGTCAGCAGAACTGCTGAGGGAGTGGGAAATCAGTAGTGACAGCTCTACTTCCTTGTCATGACTTTTAAAAATACTAAGAAGAAGGAATAATTATAGCTACTGTAAGGAATATAGTGTATCCTCCTCTATTATTTAATGGCCAAAGAAAAAATTTAAAAGAAGATCTAAGGAAAAAATATACACACCATGACTTCCGATCCACCTACGCAGTCAAGGGAAAAATCCACACCTCCTCCTGTCAATTCAATAATGATCTTCTGGATGGGTTTGTTTTGGTCTCTGGGATTGAGGCAGTCAGTGGCTCCTAGGGCTTTGGCCTTTGGAAACTTCCCACTGTTGATGTCAATGGCTATGATTCTGGAAGCTCCTGCTATTTTACAACCCATTATGGCAGAAAGACCCACGCTTCCTAGGCCAAAGACAGCACAGGTAGAACCAGGTGTGACCTGCAGACAGGAAAATTATAAAGTAACTTTTAAAGCACTTCTTTTAAGGGGGAGGGTGAGTTGAAGGATTAAACATATGAATAAAAGAGCACCTGTTATGAAACTCTATGATATAGCCAGTGGAGGAAATCTGCCAACGTGAAAAAGGTCTTGTTACTATCTAGGGTTGGAGAATCATTTAAGGACCATTAAGATTATCAGCTCTTAAGGAATAAACCCAAGTGAAAATAATTCTCTTATTTTTTTCAATGTTATCAAAACAAAATCTTAAAAACAAATAAATAAAATCAGACAATCCATTCATTCTAAAGAGTTTGTTTTCCTTTTTACATCAGATAACAAGTTATTTGATATTTATATTCCTAAGAGGCCTTATTTAGTTGTATTAATGTTAAAGTGACTCACTCGATCATCCTAAATCATCAGTTCATTGAAATGGAATCAAGCCCAAATTTCCTTGCATAGCGTTGAAGGATTTCTTTAACCTTTGTTTACTCTTCAACTTCATCTCCATGATATTTACAGTATAACATCTGCAACGAATTGTTGCATTTTCCTCCACTTTTTTCTCTGCATGCCTTACTTCATGCTTTCCCCTTAGTTTATCTAATTTCCACCTTATTTCATTTAATTAAAACATTGCCTATCCTCCTAGGCTGACTTCAAGTACTTTGTGTCTATGAAACTCTTTTTGATTATTCCATTAGAAATTAGAGCCTCTCCTTTTGCTTTTCCTGTGTCATATGATTTATAATCTGCCTTGATTGATTATGTGTTTCTGTAAAAGACTAAGTTTTGTGAAGGCAGAGGCTTTTTATCTTCCATATTGTTATCAAGGAATCGTCTGTATGTTGAGTCTTTATTTAATTAATATTTGTTACATTAAATGAAATGGAAACAATATACATGATGGTAAGAAAAGAAGCTGTGGCTGGAATATGTTATTCTACAAAGTAGTGTATAGTGGTAGAAGAATACTACCCCAAGAGATACTTAATACTTTCTAATGAGGATGAGAAACCGTGAGGAAAGCATAGACAAAAGGAAAGAGAAAACTTGCCCAAGAGAAGTGGTAACACATTTTAAATTGGAAACAAAATTACTAAGGAACAAAGAGGAGGCACATCTTTTACTTTAATTTATGCATAATATCAGTCATGCATAATGCTGGCTTTTAAAAAGGTAAATTAAAAAATCTAAAAAATTAAAAAATATAAAATATATATTTTGTGAATATTAAGATATTCAATTAATATATATTGTTCCTATTATGGCCCATTTAGTATGATATTGTGGCACATGTTTAATATGATTTCCACTATATTTCTCCAGAGTCTGGTTTAAAAAGAGCTTAAGAGTCTCTTTGGAAGTAGAAATCTGTTTTTCCCATTGCAGCAATGTTGAAACTAGTACGTGGATTCTCAGGCCCGCTCACAATGGGGTATAAATGAGTATTTTGTACTGCTTGTATTATACAATTGGATCCCTGTGTGTAAAGGTGCCTTTGCTTGCAATAGTTAGAGGGACTATCACTCTAAAGTGCCCCCACAATTTGCAAATAGGGAACAGGGCTGCACACAGTGGATGATTATCTATCTGCGAACATCATTGTTAGAGGACATTCTCGCACTTCCAAAGATCTCTGTGAAATGATTTAATTGGCAGTAAAAGATACAAGAAAATTAAGAAAAAATAGGAGTTCTGGTGTTATAGAATGTCCCTAATAATTACATGGAGTTGTTGCTTCACTTTTCTTCCCAGAAATATGTGAAAGTTTATTAAGGCTCTTGCCTTTTGGGCAGAATAACTGGCATTTCACTTTTCTTAATTTCTTCCTGTCATATTGTTTCTCTTCTCTGAGCATCTTATGAAGTGGGTTTAGTGGGTAAGATCTCAACAATGGGAAGAATAGGTTCTGGGAATTTAAGTGGACTTAATTCCACTTGTGGGTATATATCCAAAGGAAATGAGATCTGCCCACCCATTTTCTTCTTCTTTTTTTTATTGAGACAGAGCCTCAAGCTGTTGCCCTGGGTAAAGTGCTGTGGCATCACAGCTCATAGCAACCTCCAACTCCTGGGCTCAAGCAATTCTCCTGCCTCCACCTCCCTAGTAGGTAGGACTACAGGCACCTGCCACAACGCCCAGCTATTTTTGTTGCAGCCATCATTGTTGTTTGGTGGGTCCAGGCTGGATTCGAACCCACCAGCTCAGGTGTAGGTGGCTGGCGCCTTAGCTGCTTGAGCCACAGGTGCTGAGCCATGCCAACCCAGTTTCATTGCAACATTGTTCACGGTGACCAAGGTACGGAATCAACCTAAAGTGTCCACAAACAGATGAATGGATAAAAAAATGAGGTATATAGACAGAATGGAATACTATTCAGCCTTAAAAAGGAGGCAATCTTGGCATCTGTGACTATATGCTTAAACTTGGAGAATGTTGTGGTAATGAAATAAGCCAGGCCTGGGTTGGCTCCCGTAGCACGGTGGTTATGATGCCAGCCACATACACCAAGGCTGGTGGGTTCAAAACAGGCCTGGGCCAGCTAAACAACAATGACAACTGCAACAAAAAATTAGCCGGGTATTGTGGCATGTGCCTGTAGTCCCAGCTACTTGGGAGGCTAAGGCCAGGAGTTGAGGTTGCTGTGAGCTGTGACACCACGGCACTGTACTGAGGGCAACATAGTGAGACTCTGTCTCAAACACAAAAACAAAGAGACAAAAAAAAAGGAAATAGGCCAGGCACAAAAAGGCAGGTCTGAATGATCTTACTTATATGTGGAATCTAAAGAAGTCAAAACAGAATAGAAGGGTGATTACAAGAGGCTGGAGGTGAGGGTTGGGTGCAGGATGGCGAATAGGAAGATGTTAGTCAAAGGATACCAAGTTTCAGTTAGACAAGAGGAATAATTTCTGGAAATCTATAATACAGTATGGTGATCATAGTTAATTACATATATTTGAAAATTGCTGAGAGTGGATTTTAAATGTCCTTACCACAAAAAGTGATGAGATGAGGTGATCGATATGTTATAAGTTGACTAAATCATTCTACAAGGGGTGCATGTATCTAAACATCACATTACACACTGTAAATATACTTTTTATCAATTAAAATACATATTTTAAAAAATAAAGCTGTTGCTGAATCTCTAGTGTTAATATCACTTCAAAGGACTGAAGTGGTAGAAGAGGATGGACCACCTGAGGTCCAAAAAAAGAGCCTGAGGGCAGTGCTTCTTCCCTGAGTCTCCAATGTTGTCAAGCAGAGAACACGCTGTTCCTACCAGCGCACACTGGCTCTTCACCCAGCTCTAAGTACCTTTTTCCTGACAACCTTCAGATTATAGTTTGGTTTCCCACATAATTTTTATTTTTTTATTATTGAATGATTGAATGCATGAATACATTTTTAGAAGGAGATAAAATGCTGATAGCAAAGAATAGTATTTCTTTCTGGGTGGCAGATGAAATTCTCCATGAAAATATCTTGGCGACTAGATCAGCTTTTTGATTTGGTAAGGCTGATTTTGTTTCTTTGATTCAGAACAACTTTAACCTGATAAAAAGGAATTTCTGGGGCGGTGCCTGTGGCTCAAAGGAGTAGGGTGCTGGTCCCATATGCCAGAGGTGCTGGGTTCAAATCCAGCCCCGGCCAAAAAAAAAGAAAACTGCAAAAAAAAAAAAGCCAGGCATCGTGGGGGGGTCGTCTGTAGCCCAGCTATTTGGGAGGCTGAGGCAAGAGAATTGCTCCATC